TTGTAGTTTGCAGTTTAATAAGTTACTTGCCGCCGGAAACGCTGCAAGTTCGTACTTGTGGTTGTTGTCTGCTGTGAATTGTGGTTGGTTAGGAATGGTTCGCCATACCATAGTATCATACTTGTTTCCTCAGGTAGCCTTGGTTTGCAGAATTAGTCTCAACCGAGCCATCTGTTCCAGGGGTCCCTTAATTTGGGTGTTAGGTCTGTCTAGTTGCTTATTGTCACGGAGTATCAGTGCAATCCAGAGACCTATTGGTAGGATCCTCAAACAAGGTTTGCTACTTTGGTTATTTTATAAGAATTGCTCCAGACTCTAGCCAGTAAAAAAAAAGCCAAGGATTAAGGTTCATATTCTTTCTTAATTCCATTTATATGTTCTCCTAATCTTCATGATATAAAAAGTACATCTCTTGGTTGAATGAATTAAGAACTTTTTCTATCTCTTCTTGTATTCTTGGCCAAATTGGCATCTCACAATTTCACTGATAGTTTTTCCTATTATAAGTTATGGTATTTTCAGTTTTCATGATAAATCTTTGAGTTTAATCCTCTTTAGTCTTTATTAAGCTCTTTCAAAATGAAAAATTGTTTTTATTATTATGTTTGGTCGACTGTGATTTTTGTTGACCTGCAAGTTTGGTTCATACATTTGCTTTCATACTTTTCTGTAGTGGGATATCAGATTCACTTTGTCAAATTATTCCTTGCAGGAATTTGGGAAATTATGTCTCTTTGAGGGGAATCAAGGGACTTGCTTTTGCCTGTCTGGGCTCCATGTCTAAGTGGGAGCCAGTCACATTTCAGGAATCTCTTAGCTTTGTCAAGAAAGTAAAGGTGAGAAGTTTGCTCAAAGGAACTCTCATTCACTTGTTAGAAGCTTTTTGCAGTTTTGATGGATAGTGTTCTTTAATCTTACGCTGTTGCGACCCATAGCTGTTAGTTTATAGCTCACATTCTGGTCATATCAGTGGCAACAATTTATCCTTAAGTGATGGAAAAGTACATGTTCCATGTTCTACTGATTCACACAAATATCTGAGGCATGATGGTAGTTTCATCATCTAGGGTTCACAATAAGAATGTGCGGTCCTTTTCAACCATTTGGTAGCAAGTTGTCTGCAATTAAGTAAAGAAGGAAATGATTCTTTTTCATGATATAAAAGGCTGTTTAGCAATCATTTGGGAATTTGGATCTGAAGCAAATAGAAATACTTGCTTTACAGATATTGAAACCAGGCTGCCTATAAAAAAAACAACAACAAAGCCTTTTGTTACCTAGCAAGTTGTGGTTGGCTAGACTATTAGAGATGAAACCCAACAAGAGCAACCAATAAAGCGGATAAAAAAAGTAAAATAAAAGGGTAATAGTACTACTCTCTCTGATTCCAAACATAAGTTGTTCAGGACAGCTTAGACGGTCTCAATATGGTATTTTGAATTGCAGTTTTGTAGAAATGTATTATTTTAAATAATGAAAGTTATATGTTATGAAAGTATTCCATGGTGTAGCTGGTATCATCAGAATCGTATACTGTCAATCTATATAACTTTTCATGTAGCTGGTAACAAGCAATATGAAATATTTAAGTCTATCATAATTAAAATTTGCATGCAGTAAAATATATGAAACATGAAGATTTATGTTCCACTGATTTGGGGGGAAAATTATACTAAGGGGCTGTTTGGATCCTTTTCATTTGGAGGAATTGAAATCTACTTTATAGATTAGGCTATTTGGCTTGGAATTTGACATTCCACAACTTTCCAAAGTTCACATATAAGCCTATCTCAAATTCATGGGTTAAGAGATGGAAATTGATTCTATAGATCACTATGCTATGTTTTTACTTTGCAACTTATAACACACTCTTCAACTCGTTCCCCTACGGTAGAAATGCAACACATAAGTATCTCTCTCATATAGCCAACAATAATATACAAATATAATCCATATACCACCATATTAGCTTAATTAATATTTGTCTAAATTGTGATTATTAAAATGAATTCAATTCCAAATATCCAAACAGGGCCTAAGGGAAAAAGTCCATTTGCTGCAATGAACTATTCACTTTGTCTACCTCACCCGTCATATGAAGTTTCATATCATTAACTTCCCTGAAGTATAAAAATTGGGTGAACTCACCTCCAAATGGTTGTATTTTTTTGGTTGCTCACCATACAATTTGGGTTTTGACTTCACATTTTGTGGGGTGATACATGACAACATACCCTATGTTATATTTTTTTTTATCCGTAAGTTAGAATGTTTTTATCCCAATGTTTTTACTCCCTATTTTAGATTTAAGATTTTTCGTGATTAATTTTGTGCCTTCTCATATCTAGAGGTTAAACCAGTATCAGATGGTTCCAAGTTCCAACCTATAAAAATAATCACGAAAAAAATCTAATATATTTTTGAAAATAGGGTATGCTGAAAGTGCTTGAACATGAGAGGCAACTTTGCTCTTAGTTCTTTGCTCTTTCTCCATTCATCTCACCTGTATCTGTTAGTTTTTTTTCTCTTGAAATGATCACTAGTGTTACATGAATATTTTGATACCATTTATGTGCTATGAAGTATTGTGGGAGAGCACCTTTGATATACAAAACCAAGCCTATTATATTAACTAATGAAAGGGGCACCCTGTTTTACTGCTGTGCAAGTAATACTGTAGTAGTTGACTGAGGCTGTGTTTAGTTCGCGAAATGAAAATTTTTGGATGCCACATCGGATGTTTCGGGGATGTCGGAAGGGGTTTTCGAATACTAATAAAAAAAACTAATTACATAGCTCGCCTGGAAACTGCGAGACGAATTTATTAAGCCTAATTAATCCATCATTAGCGCATGTTAGTTACTGTAGCACTTATGGCTAATCATGGCCTAATTAGTCTTAAAACATTCGTCTCGCGATTTCCAACCAAACTGTGCAATTAGTTTTTTTTTCGTCTATATTTAATACTCCATGCATGTGCTACAAGATTCGATGTGATAGTTTGGGGTGAAATTTTTTTGAACTAAACCAGGCCTGATTTGCGTTTGATCGTGCTCTTTGCTGGTACAGGCACGTGACTATATGTTATACCTATCACTGCTCGATGTGCTCAACCAGAATGATCAAATCCCTCAGCAAGCTTACAGCGAGGTTAGCATGACTCTGATCCTCTCATTTTTGTTGTAGAGGAATCTGTAGCTTAGTGATTCATCTGGTTCCATCATCTTCGAAATGCAGCTTTCACTTCAGTTCCAGCATCACGAAGATCTGTTAGCGGAGCTGTCCAAGTTCAGGCCCCTCCCATGTCCAAACAACATCTATACCCACGGCTCGATTTGGATGATCGTATTCCTCATGCCCTTTCTGCTCCTGAGCCTTGTCCTCGCCTTGAGAAGCCATTGAAGTGCTTCCTGCTCCATTAGACTGTTGCAAGCCTAAATGATGTGTCGTAGTACTAGCAGCTAATTGTATATAGATATATATGGATGGGTTTCTGTCCTGTAATATCTTTATGATCTCCTTGTACGCCCGTGCACACGGAAATAATCTTACAGTGTTATTTCAGTTGCGGCAGTCTGGCAGCATATAAAGCCTAAACAGATCGTTTGACCTCGTTCCATCGGAACTTCAATTTTTTACAGAGAATTTGGGTTTTTTGAGTCTATATACAATTTAAACAGGTATAAGCGACTTAGGAGAAATTCGTAGTGAAGTCTTCTTCTGTATCGTTTGTGTTACGAACAAACTTTTGATGGCCTTGAACCTAAGCAGCTACAGAAGGCAGTAGGAAGTCTTGATCTATTTCTTGTTTAATCAGAACAGTCTCTTCATTTATATACATGAGATGTCTCGACGTCTTGGCCTTTAAGAAAAAACTACCTCGAGAATTAAGATTTAAGAAAGTAGATATAACAACCCAAATTGTTTGTGAACAGTAATCCATCGGCCCTAGGGGATGCGCTTTGGCATGGGTCCTAAAAGCACGTAGCCTTTGATCTGGGTGTTCCCTCAGTTTGAAATTATAAATTATTTTGCTGAAAACCCCAAAATGGACTTATGATTTGAAACGGATGGAGTAACATTTACTTTATCCCTTTTAACACCTATATGTAACATTAAGAAAATTTAAAACATTTTTTCACTAACAATAGTCTAATCACTAGTGGGATACCTAAGCATTATCAACACGCATAGTAGCCTTGGCATCCATGCTTGCATACATAACATTCTCTCTACCATGGCTTCTTCTTAGCGCTAATGAATGTACATGCACAATAGGCTGGATATGACAGTTTGTTTAGTGGTTTGCACTGAAGTTCAGAAAATTATAGAACCAGATGGCATAGTTATCAGTATGGGACTATGGTGCATCGGATTGGGCAAATCTCCCAAGCCATCCTTCCCTAACAATACACTAGCATGAATATGATCAAAGTCAGCCAGTATTGTAATTTCCAAATCCTGGTATATCCACCTGATCATAGCTTCGACATTAATTTTTTTTTTTTTGGTGTACAATTGCAAAATTGCTAACTTAGTTTTCTAAGGGGTGAAATTGTGCCCCATATGGGCATCTTAGAAAATTTGAACTAAACACCTCAAACTTTCAACATATATGTACATGACTACGAACAAACGAACACCAAACGAATGGCCTTCCCCAAAAATTGGACGTCATCAATTCATCATCATGCTAACTAAAGCAGAGCAATATACATAATCATATCACCTGGGCCCAGAAAGCCGCACAGGAGAAAGCAAAGCATCACTATTGTAGTCTGACATCCCAGATGACGTGCCCTCTTCGCTGCTAGATTTGAAGGCATTCGCGTACAGCCGGTATCCAATATGCGAATATATTGGTGGCTGGGGCACGTCGCAGACGCCTTCCAGCATCTGGACAACCTTCGACATGGATGGCCTCTGATAGAAGTCCTCCTGAATGCACCACAGGGCCACCTTGATTGCCATCTCAACTCGGTTATCCTGGTCCTTGTATTTTAGCTAGCATAGGAGGGGAAGTGAGCTTTCTCCGAGCCTTCCACAGGATCATAGCTCTTCCTCCAACTGATTATCTCAAGGAGAACCATCCCGTAGCTGTACACGTCGCTCTTCTCTGAGATGGCATAGTTGGTGATCCATTCAGGTGCAAGGTAGCCCCGCGTGCCTCTGAGCGTCGTGAACACATGGCTCTGCTCCCTGGTCATTAACTTGGCAAGGCCAAAGTCTGACACCTTTGCGAGGAAGTTGTCATCAAGGAGGACATTCTCAGGTTTGATGTCACAGTGAATGATCTTCGACTCACAGTCCTGGTGGAGGTATGCCAACCCCTTGGCTGTTCCAAGGGCAATGTTAAACCTTGTTTCCCAGTCCAGCAGGGAGGAATCCTCATTTCTTTGGAAAATCCATCTATCTAGAGACCCTTTTGCCATGTACTCGTATGCAAGAAGCCTGTGTGCTCCTTCAGCACAAAAGCCTCGGAGTTTGACAAGATGGATGTGATGTATGCTGCCAATGATGGTCACCTCAGAACGGAATTCTTTCTTCCCTTGTCCTATGCCCTCTACCTTCTTTACAGCGATGCGACTGCCATCAAGCAGTGTACCAAGATACACAGATCCAAACCCTCCCTGGCCAAGCTTGTCTGAGAAGTTGTTTGTCGCATAGTAAGTATACCGTGTCGGTGCTCCTGATATAGTTTGCAGGAAACCATCATCTTCTGATGAACCAGCATCATCATGCGAGGGTGTATGGTGACTCCTTCGGTAAATGCAGAAACCAACATACACAAGGACCCCTATGACAGCCAAAGTTCCAACAATGGCAACAATTACGATGGTGAGCCTACCTGTCGGGTTCATAAACCCAGGGTCCCTCGGGGACCGGCTTCGACGCCCGGGCTCGGCCCAGGAGAACAGCCTGTAGCTCATGGGCCAGCCCAAAAAGTCTAAAAAACAACGGGCCGGACGGACAGACCGGTCGCCGACCGGAAGGTCCACCGAAAGAATGAACGCCCGCTCGACAACTTCTTCGACCCACCTCTCCGACCGGAGCGCTCGCCTCGGGCGCCGGCCGCCTCCGGGCGGACTCTCCGATCGGAAGGCCTGGCCCAAAACGCTGCTTCCTACTCCGACCCCGCGTCTCCGACCGGAGACTCGTAGGAAGCCTGCTTACCGCTCTTCTCCGACTGGCACGGCCAGTACCGACTGGAGCCATCCGACCAGAGATTCCAGCTCGGAAGGGACCAGGGGCGAACCGAGAAAACAACGCACAAAGTCAAAACACGGTACCAGGACCATACCCTGTATGCCCACAGAAAACAGTGCTCCACAACCGTCCTGACACAAACAGTATGGGAGGTACCGACATTTGTGACTACAGTATTGTAGGCGCCGACATTTATGTCTACAGTATTGTATGCGCCGTTGGGGCTCCCGTACGGCAAAAAGGCCGCCCACATGCCTCTGGGCATCGATAGTGGGCACCAGGATTCACCATACCTGATACACGTGGTGGGGCTCCTCATATACTAACAACATTTCGCAGGTACCGACGTCCACCCTTCCTGAAGAAGCCAACGCAACCCCCATGTGCACTTGACATTCTACAGCGACATCGACAGTGTTATGCGTGCCAACCATCATCACTACCCTCATTCGGCGTGGGCAACAAGACTTAGAAACATCCGTACTCTCTCCCTCTCACCTGTAAAGCCACCCCTTTATCTATAAAAGGGGATGCGCTCCCTCCAACAAAGGAGATCGATTTTCCAGAGGTTCACTTCTTCAAGCTCAGGCTCACTAGATCGATAGCTCAGAAACCCCTCAACAAATATACCGGGTGATGGGTTGCAGAGGTCCCAGCGATCCTCTGGAGCCTAAGAACGATCCCAAACCGATCCACGGGATTCACGCCTTTTTTCCTAGCTTACGGAGCAGAAGCCGTGTTGCCCTCCGACCTCGACCACGGCGCACCAAGAGTAAAAGCTTTCGACCGCGACTGAGCCGCGGAAGCTCAACAAGACACAGTCCACCTGCTTGAAGAGGCCCGCGAGACAACCGTCGTCCGCTCCGCTCGCTACCAACAAACCCTCCGCCTGGACTTCGTCGCCGACCGACTTGGCGTACTCCACCTCCGCGAGGAGACTCGCGACGCGGCACCCGTCGGAGAGACGCTCTCCATCGACTCTGGGACGCGCAACCTCAACGGCGCGGCATCTGCGTTTCATTCCGAGCAAACTCCCTGCTCAAACCCCACTGTAAGTAATATGCGTACCTTTATTTCGCCCTTTACTAACTACCTCCCACCAATCGTTCGGAGGGACCGCACCAGCCACGCCACAAACACCGTACGTTCGGTTCCCCTACGGCCTCGCGTCCTCCATGGACGCTTACGCTCAGGGGCTCCAAAGAACGCTAGTGCCATCCCCCTCATGTCCGAATTCGTAGGAATGGCAGGCTCCACTCCTGCCGCCTCCCACGAACTCCCAGATAACGAGGGCGAGAGCGATGGTTCCAGCATCGGTGATGTGGCATCCCGCCACCATTCTGTTTTGGGAATGCGCCATGGCGGATCGTCCAGCACAACCGCCGGTAGTTGCCGAGTCCGTGCAAACTCACACCCCTCCGGACACGCGTGCGGAGGCCCTTGCGTCTGCGCAAGCGCAAGCCGAGGAACTACGACAGAACCCGCCACCTGCGCTGGCACGATCACCGCGGCACGTTGCGCCCCATGCGCATGGCCCGGCGGGCGGCGCCCAGGGACGCACTCGATAGGTCCAGTGCGACATTTTGAACGAGGGAAACGACGTCCCGCAATTCGCCCGAGCCGGCCAGAACATCGCTACCGCGACAATGCTCCTGCGCGGTGTTCTCGAGCCCGTCGACCCCCAAGAACGAGCCATCTACCGGAACCTCTGGGTTCTAGTAGAGGCCGCCGCCGTCCAGCAGGCGGAAAGCTCCGCGTCGCGACACCGACCCGCGCCCTCTCTCCCCACCGGGGGGACGGGGACGCGCCAACCAGATCGCTCCGTGCGCTCGCCACCACAGCCATCAGGCTCAGCTCGGGGTGCGGCAGCCGCACCGCGGTCCGACCGGGCGCCTGCTCCACACCGACCGCCGGCACACGAGCGGCCCGACCCGCACCAGGACGCTCGTAGCGTCATCAGCAACCGGCATCGGGCCCGACGCGGCAACAACGACCGCCACACGGCGACGGGCGACATAGATCCCAGCCAAACCATTGAGGGAAGCGGTGAAACACGCCCCAGGCGCGGTCGCCGGCCGGACGACCGGAGCCCCAGCCCTAAGGGTCCGGGGCCACGGGCCTTCAGCCGGCGCATCTAGAGGGCACCGTTCTGACAGCGTTTCCGACCCCCCTCCAACATCATCAAATACACCGGGGAGACAAACCTAGGCATTTGGCTCGAAGACTTCTGACTCGCCTGTCGAGCCGGAGGAGTGGACGATGACTATTTCATCATCCAATACCTTCCCATTTGCGTGGGGGAACATGTTCGGGCATGGCTTGAATTCCTTCCACATGACAGCATCCGCGACTGGGCGGACCTCAAGAGGGTCTTCGTCGGGAATTTCCAGGGGACGTACATCCGCCCGGGGAACTCCTAGGAGCTCAAGAGCTGTCAGCAGGAGCCCAGCGAGTCCCTGTGGGATTACATCCGCAGGTTCTCGCAATGATGCAACTCCCTCCCTGATGTCATTGATGCGGACATCATCAGCGCATTCCTTTCCGGGACTAACTGTGAGTCCCTGATCCACAAGCTTGGCTGCCTAAAACCCCGCACCACCCGCGATCTACTCGACGTTGTCACCAACCACGCCTCCAGCGAGGAGGCAGTCGGAGCGGTCTTCAATGGAGGCCGGGACCAAGGCAAGCCCAAGCGCGCGGATCCAGATGAAGGCCCCTCCACTCAGAGGGGTAAGAAGAACAAGAAGGATCAGCGCCGGTCAGACAATGCCGCGCTGGTCGCCGTGGCTGATCGTACGCCCAGGCAGCCCCAACAGGGACTGCCTGACCACTTCAACAAACTCATGGATGGTCCGTGCCCCAACAACGCCTACCCTGTCAAACACCTCTATAAGGAGTGCGAGCTCCTCAAACGCTTCCTCCGATAGGCCAGCGGGTCAAAGGAGGGAGACGGCAAGGACCCGGCAGCCAAGAGAGGAGGCACGGCAGGCAAGGACGGAGACGGTTTCCCCGAGCCCGAGGAGTGCATCATGATCTTCAGAGGGTCCGACGCCATTTGGACTAAACGCCAGCATAAGGTATGCTACAGGGAGGCGTGCGCCGCCGAGACGGCCGTCCCCTCCTTCCTCAGCTGGTCGGCGTCCCCGATCACCTTTGATCAGAGGGACCATCCCTCCTGTGTCGCGAGACTAGGACGCTACCCGCTCGTCGTCGACCCCATCGTCCTCAAGAAGCGCCTCACCAAGGTGCTGATGGACGGAGGGAGCGGCCTCAACATCCTGTACATCGACACCCTTGATGCCATGCGCATCCCCCGGTCGGAGCTCCGCCCGGCGGGCTCCCCTTCCACGGGGTGATCCCGGGAGCACAGGCATACCCGCTCGGACAGATCGATCTGCCCGTCACGTTCGGTAGCCGGGCGAACTTCCGCTCGGAGGTCCTCACCTTCAAGGTGGTGGACTTTCTAGGGTCCTACCACGCCATCTTGGGACGGCCATGCTACGCAAGGTTCATGGCCATTCCCAACTACACCTACCTCAAGCTGAAGATGCCGGGGCCGAACAACATCATCACCGTAAGTAGCGCCTTCTCGCACGCCTTCGCGTGCGACCACGAGCACTATGAGCTCGCCACCACGGTCGTCAACTCATCCGAGCTCCCGCAGCTCGGGGAGTCATCAACCCCAGCAGTCCCAGACTACAACAAACTGGCCTCCTCGACGGCCTTCCGCCCGCTCGAGGAAACCAAAGCGATGGGTGTCGACCCCGCTGATCCAGCCAAAATAGTACGAATCGGGACCCAGCTCCCGACCAAATAGGAATGCGAGCTCGTCGACTTCCTGCACGACAATTGTGATGTCTTCGCATGGCAGCCCTCTGACATGCCGGGGATACCGCGGGAGGTCGCCGAGCATGCACTAGGCCTTATCCGGGCTCAAAGCCCGCCAAGCAACGCCTGCGTTGTTTTGACGACGAGAGACGTAGGGCCATAGGTGAAAAGATCGCCAAGCTCCTGACAATCGGATTCATCAGAGAGGTTTTCCACTCCGACTGGCTCGCTAATCTCGTCCTTGTCAGAAAAAAGACGGGGAAGTGGAGAATGTGCGTCGATTATACTAGACTTAATAAGGCATGCCCAAAGGATACTTTCCTTTACCACGCATAAACCAGATAATTGACTCCACCTCGGGTTGCGAGATCCTCTCCTTTCTGGATGCCTACTCCGGCTATCACCAGATCGTAATGAAAGATTTCGACCAGCTCGCGACCTCATTTATCACCCCGTATGGTTCGTACTGCTACATGACCATGCCTTTTGGTCTAAAGAACGCTGGCGCCATCTACCAAAGGTGCATGCAGCAATGCTTCGCCGACCAAATCGACCCGCCTGATCAGCCTGATCAGGCTGAACGGCCGATACCAACAATCACCGTCTATGTTGATGACATAGTGGTCAAAACGGCTCGAGCTTGCGACCTGATCACAAACTTGGCCGCAACGTTTGTGAACCTCCGAAGGTTCAACATCAAGCTGAATCCCGAAAAATGCGTTTTCGGGGTTCCAAAGGGGATGTTGCTGGGATACATCGTAT